TGAGCTAAAGTTAAGCTATAAAACTTCAATAATGCAAATAAGGGACTCAAGGGACTCGACAATAATTTTCCTTTTTATGCAACTTTTAATTCACTAACCTTCATAGCTACGTAACAGTTTCATGTATTAAACAGCCACCATGCTCTCTTACTGTATACTTCTGTTTACAATCTAACATAACATCATAAAATCGGATTTTTAGATACACTAAACTTTGAAATGCACAGTCCGCCATGTTGTTAGTCACGTGTGGATTTTAGACAGGAAACCCAAAATTCAAATATAAAATATTACAAATAGAAGCCCGAACGGTTGATTCGGGGTTGATTGCTACGAATTCAAGGTTACGTCGGCTACATCGTCAAGATTGACTGGTTGCCGGGACGTTGCAGCAAGAAAAATTATCCTACTATCTCCATTTCTGGTAAGCTTATAAAAGTAGCGCTAAATGAAATAGACAAGATAACTTTATTTTCATGAACTTATTGATTTACAGGTACAAATCTCAGGTTATATTAGATATGTTCATTTTTATATGTATTTGATATTTCTAAAAAACACAAAAATGTATAGCTTGGGCTACCTGTGATTTTTTCGGTCATTGCGGCGTGACGCGAAATTAGACTGGTAACTATACTCAGCATGCCGGGTAAATTTTAAGCAATATGGCGGACAGAGTCTAAAAACATCAATTTGGATTTTATTCTAATGAAACTCATGAAAACATGTCCAGGAAAGTGAAAGTATTGTTCAGAAACACTCTACTTTCGTTATCGACTAAATTGGATTATTATTTTACAGGTTGAGAGGATTGAGAAATCTAAATCCCCCACAAAAGCAAGCAATTATATTCTACACGTGAGCTATCTGGAACGTCAAAATTTCCAGCAGTTACAGAAGGACTTGTTTGTGCTAAAGACGTTTTGGCTTACGGTACTATATGGCATAGGAGTTTTTTGTCTGTTGGAGGAAGGAGAGTTTCAAATTGGCTGGATACCGGAAAATGACAAGATTATTTTCAAAAAATTGAGAAACTATAAGCTCTCTTGATAATTTTTCTGCAAAAATCTCATACACAGACAAGAAATTTGTTAGTGACAAGTTTTCGAAGATCAAAATTTCAATAGAATGTACAGCATAAACTACTTAAGCAGCTCTTGCAATAATCTTTCTATGGAAAAAAATATAGTTTTATGTGTTTAAGTTTAATTTTATAATTTTCAGTCTATATAAACTTAAACTTAATACATAAAACTATATTTCTAAAAGTGTGCTTCATAATTACTACAAAGTTCTGCTAAATTGTGTTAATTTTAGTGTTTTATATTGTCTAATTGTCACTATTTAGCAGTAAACAGTGTAAATTATTGTTCACTTTTAGTGTTTGTACTATACATGTAACTCTAATTCTCTTAATTATATACATGTCCTTGTAATACACCAGTCAAGGGGGAAGTGAGTGTTTATCTTGACTCACAGGGTCAGTTATGCGGAGGATGGATAAAATTATCCACTGGATAAACTAAGGGTTTATCCAGTGGTAAAGGGTTTTTTTTATAGATTTATCTGTTGGATAAGGATCTGTTTGCTGGATAGCACTATCCACCCTTCACACAACCAGCCCCTGGTGTATTATTGTAGATTTAGTACTAAATTGTGCTAATTAAAGAGTAGGAAAATACAAATAACACAACTTAGCACTTTTAAGTGTGCACACTTATAGTGTTTGTAATCTATTAGTTTAAATGTTAATGTTTCATTTTCAAAAAATAGGAAAAATGTTGAATTTACAACCAGTATTCATAAATATTTTTATGTTTATTAAAAATATTTACAAAAAATAAGCCTGAGTACAACAAATTTGTGTCTAAAATTGCCCAAAATRGCKSWAAATCGCWGTAAATCGCAGTAAATTGCCTTAAATTTAGATGGTTTTTTGGTGATTTTTGCTTAAATCGCTTAAAATCGCTTACAATCGCCCAAAATTACAGCGATTTTAGGTCCCGGACTAGGCCTAAGCGGTCGTTTTATGTTTCTAAATTATTGTATGAATGTGTATATTCGAGCTTTCAACTTGACGGTATTTCTAATGGCAAAAATCATGGAAAAAGACAGATTCAGTTATTACTCAGATAAAATTTCAAACGGGCTAGTGTGTAGATGACATAGGAGATTTTAATTAACTGTTTGACAAATTTATATTCGGTGCCAACAATCGAAAACGAAACGCTCATATGATAAAAATCTTATTATTAACCGAGGTTGTTTGGCATAGATAAAAACCGGACCTTGGTTAGTCATACAGACCTTGGTGCACTTAGTATGTACTTCCTGAACGCTGTCTTGATTTTTTATCGAAAAACGATATGAACGAAAGCACGTTTTCGAGGATTAAAAAGTCAATATTTACTCAAGCAGCTTTCTCAGTTTATCAACAGTGTTTCCGTTTTTAGGGGACTTTTATGATGGAGTTTTACCTGTTCAATTCATCAAATATTGGATTTTTTAAAAGTCTCCAATTGCTGGAGTAAAATAAAGATAAAAAGGAAGGAGAATTCACAAAAATTCACTTCACAAAAATGATATACAATTTAACTCTTGGTCGGTCAAATAAAGACGTCTTTTCAAAACATCATGGTCGACAAAACAACAACACTTCGCGAAATATTTTGTTTGACTGTAAATAAAAAAATATCCAAAAATGTTCCAAGCTATCCTTTCCTCAATTCAATATGTGTTAAGTTAAACAACACATTTCCACATTGTATAAATGAGAATGGATGCATTCACTTGCTTGTCAAAGTTAATTTATTCTTCTTCAGTGCATATCATTCAGTGATATAGAATGAAAGCTACAGTCTTACTGTGTACTCTGTTTTGCACGGCTTTCATAATTGCTTCACAAGTATCTACTGTGTCAGGAGCTCCAATATTATCAGAAGACAGCACAATGGCATCAGACGTTCAGCCAAAACCAAGAAGGAGACGCAGCATTGGTGTTCTGGGTTATATGGGTGTAAGAAGAAGAGGCTGATGCTCTTTAAGTAGCGATACTCCCATCGTCAAGAGTAACAACTAAATGTATCTCAAGATGAAGTAGCACAAAAAAGACTGCGATCTCTAATTGGGACAATTGAGAGGGCAAGAAGTCATTTCTCATAGACTCGCACAATTTATTGCTGAAGCCAACGAGGACACCTTTAAGTGTGAAAAAAACAAGTTAACGTAACTTAAAGGGACACTGTCAATGGATGACATGCGCAGTAACAGTCTCACCTCTAACGGACTTTGAAGATATTACCTTCGAGGTACATCATTTTGTGGTGCTTTTGACACACTTTGGAATATTCTAGATCTGTTTACGTTTACGAGCTGATTTATGTCGCGCCAACTTGGAGTCATAAACTTGAAAACACTAGCCTAATATTTTCAAGTTTACTCGCGCATGCGTGCCATTGACAGTGTCCCTTTGATATGGACATGGTTCGTGGTGCTCCTCGAAATCCTTGAAAAGTCCTGGAATTCGAAACTCGTTTTAAAAGTGCTCTTGAAAATGAGAAAGATCGGTAATGCTCTAGAAAAACTCCTTGAATATAAGAAAATGGACATGTTGCCCGTTTGCTTTTGAATTGAATGTGCATATTTTTAAAAATCACACTAGAAACATTTGCAAACATCAAAAAATATCTTCAAATAAAGTCCTTGAAAATCGCTGACTCTTGTGCTTTAAAAAATACTTGAAAAGTCTTGAAATTGTGTAGTGAAATGTAGCACGAACCCTTGATGATGATAATAAACAAAAGAATAGTAGGATTGGCTGATGACCGTGGTTATATCAGAGGACAGAGACACGGCTTACTGGCAAAATGTGTTTTCGCTCGAAAAACGCAGAAAATGTTATAAAACAGAACTTTAAAACGACCGCTTGTGTCTCTGTCCTCTGATATAAACACGGTGGGAGTTGAAAAGCACTCTAAGCTTGCTTCTCTCGTATTTTGCAACTCCCACCGTGTCAGAAGCACAAAACGAGAAGTTTCCATCTCCCCAATAATATCGCCACCATCAGATGTCCCGATAATCWATTTTTAGACAACCAATCACAACGCGCGCACATCTTACACGGCACCTGATTGTTCCTTGTTGATCTACTTCAAGAGCGGACAAGAAAAGGAAAATGCAGTCGATGGAGAGGCGAACGAAGTAAAGCTTGCATTACGAGAATTTTATAACTTTTGCGGAACAACCATTTCAGAATTTGGTAGAAAACATTCTTTACTATATGAGCAATATAGCGATCAGGGTATTTCTCTTCGAGAGCAATATGGTCTGCGAAAACAGGGGAAAAGTTCAGACAAAGATGAAAAAGATGCAGACAAAAGGAGTGCGAAGAAATGCCTGCAAAAATGTGATTTTGTGGCGAGAATTGTATTCGTTTTAACAAGAAATCTGTTCTAATAGAATTAGACTATACATAGAATTGTAGTAAAGGTATTTTAGGATCTAAATAGCTTTATAAAAAGGGGAAAACTAATACGATGCGAAAAATGTCGCAAAAAGTCAATCAAAAACTCTTTTAGCAAAACGATGTTCAAATTAAGTTCATATTATATTGTGAACTCTTCAATGTGTAAGGAGTTGTTCTTTGAAAGAAAAAGTGTGGAATAAACAAACTATGTACAGAGGGTAATAACGAAATCATGTCGAATTTTAAGTTAACAATAAACATGATAAGTTATTAAAGGCACAAACAACAAGAAGTCGTCAAAGAAATATCGATAACTAACTTGAATTTCAAAACAAAGCCCGCCTACCTGAAAATTTACAGCTTTTCCATCTCACGTTAACAGTCGAAAATTACTTTACCTTTGGCTTTGTTTAAGTCCAGCTCTAGACTACTTGACTGTAAGGAAGCTACTTTACACTACTTTTCTTAGCACGCTGTTTTAGATTTTTCTTCGTCTATGTCTGAACTTTTTCCTTGTTTTCGTAGACTCTGTTACAATATTGCTTTATTACGTCATTGTAATTCAATACTTTAGTCTGAATAAAGCAGTTCATCTACGCCACCAACTTGCGAACATTGAAACATGGTGTCAGAACTTAACGCGAACTAAAACGCTTTCAATATTCTACAAACATGACGAAGGATCAACCTTCAACCAGTGCAACCAGTAACGGTCCACAAGGACCAATGTTCACATCACATTTCCCGGTTCCAACGTCTATGAACACCAAAGGGGATCAAGTCAACAACTGGGAATTTTTCAAACAACAATGGTGCGATTACGAGATCGCAACAGGTCTCGAATCTGGAAGCGACAAAGTCAGAATGGCTACATTACGTTCCGTCATGGGTAAAGACTGCCTACAAATACTTCTTAATCTTAAGCTAAGCGAAGAACAAAGAGACAATGTTGACGAATGCCTGAAAGCACTGGAATCGTATTTCAAGCCAAAAAGAAACGTCGTCTATGAGAGGTACATCTTCAATACATGCACACAGAGCACCGACGAAACCATAGATGGATATGTAAACCGTTTGAGGAAACACGCGGCAACGTGCGAGTTTGGAGTCCTAACTGATGAACTCATACGTGACAGACTTGTACTGGGAATCCGAGAAGAAAGTACAAAGCTACGACTTCTAAAAGAGGACAAACTAGATCTAAACAAAGCGCTTAACATTTGCCGTTCAAACGAGATAGCCAGTAGCCAGTTAAAAGCCATTAGTCAAGATAATAAAACAGGCAAAGAAGAAGTCCGTGTAATTCAAAAAACACGCAACAAAACACGCAACAACAAGAGGCT